CAGAAGGTAACAATGGAATAATTACTTAAGGATGTTATTGCAGCATTATGTATAACTGAAAAAAATTGAAAAAAAGAAATAACCTAAATGTTTAATAGCAGAATTTTAGTTAAATAAATTATGGTACATCTATGTAGGGAATTAATATACAGTCATTAAAGATAATGCTGACAGTATAAGGAATATAGTCAACACCATTGTAATAGTGATGTATCAGATCAGATGGTAGCTATACTTGTGGTGAACTTAGAATAATGTAGGGAGCACCTGAGTGGCTCAGTTGGTTAAGCATCCGACTTTTGATTTTGGCTCAGGTCATGATCTTGTGGTTGGTGAGATCAAGCCCTGTGTCAGACGCACATCATCTGAAAAAAGCAACCTGGGATTCTCTCTCTCCCTCTCCCTCTGTCCCTCCCCTGCTCATTCTCTCTCTCTCAAAATAATCTTTAAAAAAATAATGTATAGACATGTTGAATCGCTATGTTGTACATCTGAAATGAATGTAAAATTGTATCAACTATACTCAAAATTTATTTTTTATTTTTGTTAATGTTTATTTACTTATTTTGAGAGACAGAAAGCATGAGAAGGGGAGGGGCAGAGATAGAGGTAGAGAGAGAATCCCAATCAGGCCTCGTGCTGTCAGCACAGAGCCCAACATGGGGCTAGATCTCACTAACCATGAGATCATGACCAGAGTTGAAATCAAGAGTCAGACGCTCAACTGACTGAGCCACCCAGGCGCCCCGACTCAATTTTTTTTTAAATGCTGATGCAAATCATTCCAGTTATCTATTGTTACATGAAAAGAATCACCCAAAATTTAGTGTCATACAGTAATAATTATTGCAGGCAAGATCAACTAATGGATACTAACATTAATGGACAACAGTTTGAGGAAAGATATTTGCATAAAGTATCTCGCCCATGATATTTATTAATTATAAAAGGAAAATTAGTAACTTTACAATAGAGAAACATAGCAGACACTACCTTAACCAAGTTTTCAAGGTTACTATCACCAGTAACATCAGAACTTAACCTTAGGTACCCTGAGCGTGACTGATCGAGAGCCCATAACTTCTGGGGTATTCTTGCCAAAAATGCATTAACTCTATCTAATCAAGGGAAAACATCAGACAAACTGAAACTGAAGGATATTTTACAAAATAGCTGACCAGTACTCTCCAAATGCGTCAAGACCATGAGAGACAGGGAAAGATGGAGGAACTATCACAAATTAGAAGAGACTAAGAAAACATGACAACCAAGTACAAAAGGGGATCCTGGGTTGGATACTAGAAAATAAAAAGGACATTAGTGGAAAAATCGGTGAAATTTTAAGAGGGTCTGTAGTTTAATAGAATTATACGCACATTAACTTCTTAATGTTGATCACTGTAAAGTCAACCCTTGAACAACATGGGGGTTAGGGGTGCCAAATCCCCATGTAGTTGAAAATCCATGCATAACTTTTGACTTCCCAAAGACTCTACTAATGGCCTACTGTTAACCAGAGGCCTTACCAATAATGTAAGCAGTCAATAAACATACACTTTGTATGTTAAATGTATTATATCTTGTATTCTTAAATAGAGTAAGCTAGAGAAAAGAAAATGTTATGAAGAAAATCGTAAGAGGGGCGCCTGGGTGGCTCAGTCGGTTAAGTAACCGACTTCAGCTCAGGTCATGATCTCACGGTTCATGGGTTCCAGTCCCGCATTGGGCTCTGTGCTGACAGCTCAGAGCCTGAAGCTTGCTTTGTACTCTGTTTCTCCCTCTCTCTCTGCCCCTCTCCTGCTCACACCCTGTGTCCCTCCCTCTCTCTCAAATATAAACATTAAAAGCACTTTTTTTAAAGAAAAGAAAATAAGAGACAATGCATTTATAGTACTGTGCAGAGTCCACATATAAATGGACCCATGAAGTTCAAACCCATGTTTCTCAAAGGCCAACTGTACTATGGTTACACAAGATACTAACATCAGGGGAGGCTGGGTAAAGAGCAAACAGGAACTCTATGTACTATTTTGAAATTTTTCTGTAAGTTTAACATTATTCCACAACAAAAAGTGAAAAGAAAAAGAAAAAAACAAAAACAAAAAAACTTAGTGGCACAAAACAGTGACCATTTTATTATGCTCATGATTCTGTGGGTCAGTAATATGAGGGACACACCAGGAATGATATGCCCCTGCTCCACCATGAAGGAGGCCTCAGCTGGGGGGCTGCACTGGGCTGGAGATGTCTGTGACAGCTCACCTGAGACCGCGTGTCTGGCCTTGGCTATCCTCTACATGACATTTGTTAGGAATGCAATGGCCAAGGTGGCTCCTTCTTTCACATCTCTGGTGCCGGCCAGAGATGCTGACCAGGCAGTGTATTAGTTTCCAGGGGCCGCTGTAACAAGTAACTGTGGAATGGATGGCTGAAAACAATAGCAATTTATTCTCTCCCAGTTCTAGAAGCTAGACATCTGGAATGAAGATGTCCACAAGGCCGTGCCCCTCTGAAGTCTCTAGGGAAGAATCCTTCCTTGCTTCTTCCCAGCTTCTGGTGGCTCCCAACGACCCCCTGCCATTCCTTGGCTTGTAACTACATCATTCTAAGCTCTGCCTTTATCTTCACATCACCTTCTTCTTAACCACGTCATTGTGTCTCTGTGTCTTCTTTTCTTACAAGAACGCCAAACTTCAGCTTTAGGGCCCACCTAATCCAGTAAGATCTCATCTTAACTAATCACATCTGTAAAGATTCTATTTCCTTTTGTTTGTTTATCTATTTATTTTTGAGAGACAGAGAGAGAGTGAGAGAGAGCACGAGTGGGGGAGGGGCAGAGAGAGAGAGAATCGCAAGCAGGCTCCTGTCAGCGCAGAGCCTGACATGGGGCTCAATCTCAGGAACCATGAGATCATGACCTAAGCTGAAATTAAGAGTCAGATGCTTCACCAACTGAGCCACCCAGGCACCCCTGCAAAGATTCTATTTCTAAATAAGGTCACATACTGAGGCTCCAGGTAGACGTGAGTTCTGGTGGAACACTACTGAACTCACTGTAGGTCAGAACTGGCCAACATCACGTCCTCTGGGTAGCCTTCATATGGCTTGTTTGGACTTTCTCACAGCATGGCAGCTTCAGGGTAGTCTGACTCCTTACAGGATGGCTGGCTTTCCTCTGAGTGGGCCTTCTAAAAAGAGAAGCCGAAACTGCCAGTCCTTTAACGGCAAGGGCTGGAACTGGTGGTGTAGGATTACTTCTGCTGTACTCTATCAGTCAATGTAGTCCTAGCCCAGCCCAGACTGAAAATACAGGGAGAAAGAGACCCCATCCCTATCAAGGACTGGAATGAACATCATAGAGGGAAGGAACTATGGCAAACATCTTGGAAGCAAACTATCACACAGTTCTGCCCTTACTGACAGCTAAGGGTGCCCGTGAGATAAAAATTAGTAGGAAACAGATTACAAAACACCATATATATAATTTGATCTCATTTTTATTTTTAAAATATATATAGATATCTGCATGGAAAATGTCTCAAAAGATAAAGAGTAAACAAAAATATTAATAATGATTATCTCTGCAAGTTAAGAATTATGGTGATTTTTTTCTTCCAGTTTATCAATATTTTCTAATACAGATTATGCATGTATTATTTCTATAACCAAATAGAAGTAGAAAGTAAATGATCTATTATTTTAATAGGCAAATCATTTTGGGGGGGGGTTTTTTAATGCCTTTTATTTATTTTTGAGAGAGAGAACATGAGTGGGGGAGGGAATGAGAGGGGAAACAGAGGATCCAAAGCAGGCTCTGTGCTGACAGCAGTGAGCCCCATGTGGGGCTCGAACTCATGAACCTTCCTGAGCCAAAGTCAGACACTCAACCAACTGAGTCACCCAGGTGCCCTTAGTTTTTGGTGTTTCAATTAGGATATATAAATGGTAAATTTCAACAAAGCCAATCTAGATATACATCTGTCTAGGAGAAACTCAGATTCATTTTTTTTTAAGTCCTTAGTCATAGAAAGGACAACCCAGATAGGGCACTCACTTCCTGGATAGAAACATTTGGTGCATTCTAAATCCAAATCCCCTGGGCCCAAGCAGCTTTTGAGCTCTCACCGCTGGATCCAGAAAGAAACAAACCTCAAGGAATTTCATTCACATCAAAACTCATGCTAACCATCAGCAATAGTCTGAGTCAGGTTGTTGAGGCTCTGCAATGTTAGACACTCACTTTGCAAAAGACAAATGGATCCCAGGAGTCTCAGAGAAATCAGGGGCCCCTGATTAGAGTCAGTTTTACCCCCCAACAGTATTGGATAACCACTTACGCGATGCAGGCTAAAGGATTTCCAAAGCGTCCTGCCAAAAACCTAGCAACCACTTCCCAATCCCCCAAATTTTCACCACTGTATAAGGAAGCTAAAGGCTACATGACTCTATCACACTTCTTTGGGTGAAGAAGGAGGAAGAGAAGATAAAGGAGGAGGAGAAGGAGGAGGAGGAAAGGAAGAATGATAAATATACATACACACAGATGGCAAATTAGAAACATGCATAATGATTTGGCTGGTCTCAAAAACAAGACTGGAAGAGAACAGGAAACAGGACGGATTTTTATGAAAGGGATGGCAGAAGCCTGAGTGACACATCGTGGGAGGATTCTAGGCAGTTAGGAGACTGCATAGACTGGGTGTCTAGAGGCCTCTTAGAGGCACAGGAAGTAAAGGCAAAGACATATTGTGTCGATTTCCCAATTTTTCACTGCCCTGTCCCCCTCACTCTTGAACAGGTACAAACCCGAGAAGCCTCTGAAACTTACCGATGCTCAGGAAAGTTCCATATAATCCTACCTAATGTGATCATTTCCCATAGAGAAGAGTTAAACTCACAAAGAAAAAGAAAGAATAACTTAACTGGGAGTTTTACTTTAATTCAAATATTCTATGACTCTGAGATTTAAAAAAAAAAAAAAAAAGATAAATTTTACTCACCGACAGTTTCTTCTGATGCAGCAGTCAAAGCTAGAAACTTTTTTGTATTTTCCATCTCCTCATTACTTTGCAAAGCTTCACTAGTTTTTGCAGACTAATAAAAGAGAAACAAGGAAAAGAAGGCAACTACACTCTTCAATATTTTGTACAGTTTCAACATGGATTACAAATTGTGTAATTTGTAATTCCACAATTGACCTGAACAAAAAGGGACAGGTCATTTTTATCCCTTTAAATAGGAAATCTATTAATATCCCTGTTCGCACAAATTCTAGCAATGAATAGTCCCAAACAGAGTTGTAATATATGTCTATCATTATATAATCATTATCTCACTTAAATCTTCTTCAGCTTCTGTTTAATATTTCCATAACTAATGAGTAGCCTAAAGGTCCATCATGAAATTATAGTTTCAGACATTTCAGGATTGATACTTATATTTTATTATGGGTCCAATTATTATTCCTGTTTCCAAACAAGTAAAACTTTGCTTTGAGATTCAACAGGAATAAGTGATAGGCTAACTTTTTATGACACATTTATACAAATCATTTCTCTAGTTTAAATCACTGCATTGTGTATGGTGCTTTCTACTCCATGGTCTTCCTGGGAATCTTGTAAAAATGTATTCTTCGTCACTTCATTATTAATGCAGAGCATCATCTAGGAAATGTCCTTGAAGTCAGTCGACTGAGGAAGGAAGAATTTATCAAAAACAACTCATCTGTTATTACAGTGCTCCTTACCTAAAAGTGCTCTCCTTTACGGGACAAAGTTCAAATATGAACCAATGGCTAAATGTCAAGTCAGAGCAAATATATGGTCAACTTCCACCCCTCAATACTACAGAGAATAAAAGTCCAAGAAGGCCAAGGAAAGTTAATCGAGCACTAGAGATGTACTGAGACAGAAGCAAATAGAGCATGGTCACAGACCACAAGCACTTTACAGCTTCTAAGAGATCTTGACCAGCATGTGAAACAGTGAACACCTCACTTCTTGGTCACAAAAGTTTACTTAAAAAATAATGGCGACCAGGGGGTTAAATTTGTGTATATTTATGTGTTTATCTCCAAACCGTAAGCTTGCTGAAGAAGCAGCAAACAGACTTGATGAAAGTAGGGACCCCATCACTTTCTGCTCCAGAAACGGAGGAACCCCAGCCTGACACTGGTAAGAGAGGTCTGCTGTGCTGCCCATGGAAAACAAACATGGCAGTGTGGTGCCTGAAATCTGGAATTCTGCAAAGTTACCTTGTCTAGTTCCAGAAAACGATCTCCCTCACCTCCCCCCCCACACACACATGCATATACACACCACCATCCTACTTCTACAAAATAAATCAATAAAGGCAGACCACATTAATACTACCACAGTCCATGCTTTTCTTACTCATCTCAGAGGAAATTATTTCTTCCACATCAGCAATGGTGAGACAACTCTTACCTTAAGTTCTTCCCACAGCTTTATTCTCAGGTCTAGACCTTGCTTCTTAATTTCTTTTTCTCTGTATTGTTTCTTCACCAATATTTTATCAAGCCTCTTCATCTTCTGAATAGCATCTTGAAGTTGAGAATCTAATTCTTTTAATTCAGGTTCATCTATATTGTGTTGAAAGTAGGAATGAGCTTGAAGTTTGGTACAACCAGAAAGTTTCGTTTTGTTTTTACTGTTTGTTCTTTCATTCAACAAATGTTTATGGCTGGTGAGAACAACTGACATATTTTACAAGGTGCTTTCACACATATTTTTTTCATATGATTATCGAACAACCTATGAAATATAATTATCTAACAACCCGGTTTTACAGCTAAAATAACTATCTTTTCTTTTTTTTTCCTTTTTGAAAATTTTTTTGAGTACAGTTGACACACAATGCTACAGTTTCAGGTGTATAACACAGTGATTCAACAACTCTGTAGCAGGCTATGCTCACCACAAGTATAACTACCGTCTGTCACCATACAATGCTGTTACAGTGTCATTGACTACACTCCATATGCTGTGCCCTTTATCCCCATGACTTAATAATTTCATAATTGGAAGCCTGTATCTCCCACTCCCCTTCACCCATTTTGCCCATTCCCTAACCCCCTGTTTCTGACAACCATCACTTTGTTCTCTGTATTTACAGGTCTCATTCTGCTTTTTTGTTTGTTTGTTTGTTTATTCATTTTTGGTTTTGGGGATTGCACATATAAGTGAAATCATATGGTATTTGTCTTTCTCACTCTGACTTGTTTCAATTAGCACAATACCCTCTAGGTCCATCCATATTGTCACAAATGATAAGATCTCATCATTTTATGGCTGCCTTATGTTCCCTCTGTGTGTGTGTGTGTGTGTGTGTGTGTGTGTGTGTAGTGTGAGAAAGAGAGAGAGAGAGAGAGAGAGAGAATGTACACAACATCTTCTTTATCCATTTATCTATTGATGGACACTTGAGCTGCTTCCATATCTTGGCTATCGTAAATAACACTACAATAAATATAGGGGTGTGTATATCTTTTCAAATTAACATTTTCATTTTCTTTGGGTAAATACCCAGTACTAGAATTCCCGGATCATATGGTATTTCTATTTTTAATTTTCTAAAAAAATCCTCCATACTGTTTTCTACAGTAGCTGTACCAATTTATGTTCCCACCAACAGTACACAAGGGTTCCTTTTTCTCCACATCCCCGCCAACACTTGGAAATAACTCTGTTCTTTCAAATAGCTAATAAATTATGGTATTGAACTCACAGGTGGGTCTTATCTCATTTTCAATCCCAAAATATTTCTCCTTCATTCTGGTATACCTTCTATATTCATAAGTAAGGAATAAGGAATAAGACAAAGACCCTATCCTAAAACTGCTTCAGACTAAAAAGAGAAGGCATGTAGCTATTTGTGAAATCGATGCAGCAAAATGTAACCTGTCAAGAAATGAAATGATTCCAACACAGAGAAACAAATTCAGAAAAGTACTCTATGTAACTAGACAGCTTTTATCTATGCCCCTCCCATTTGTTCTATTTTTTTTTTTT